TCCCCTCCCCTCCCCCCTCCTCATTTACTTCCTTTTTCTCCTCTCCCCTCTTCCCACCCTCCTTCCTTCCTTTCCGGAGTCCACACTGTGGGAGTTAGGCATCCACAATCGATTGACAAGAAGAGGCTCCAATGGCAATGGTGGGGCTTCACACGGGGGGATTTCTCATCCTACCCTGGAGCTGAGAAAGTAATCTGACCCAGATACTCCCCTACTCATAGCAGGCACCTCAGTTTTGTTCAGTTTTGTGAACTGCTAAACCTCTGTTTTAGCCTTCCTCCAAATGCTACTAACGTTTGGGTCCCCGAGTCCTGATAGGAGATTAACTCCAAGATTTTTCCCTTCCTGGGGAACAACAACCAGGTTAAGGGCCTAGGCGCTGCAGGTGGGTGGTGTTGGATTCAAGTTCTGACTTGGCCATTTTCTAGCCATGGGATTTCAGGCAATCTGAGATTTTTACACCTCTAAATCGGTTAAATGGGGATGATGGTGTGTGTCAGATAGACTGTTAGGTGGATTAAATAAAATAATATGTATCTATAATGCACATGGCACAGTTCCTTGTGAAATGGTTGTGAAATGATATATAAATTGAACTAAAATTATGTTTTCTGTTCAGAGGGTATTGGGCAAGTGATATCACTGTGTCCTTCAAGCTCCACTGAAATGTGAGATATGAGTAAAGGTAACTGCAGTATAGACTGCTAGCTGTGCATTCTCATGTTTGCTTACAGGTGCTTTCATAGCAATAGAAGCCCCGCCTTTCGCTGCCTGGCATAAAGACTACATTTCCCAGACTCCCTTTCAGCTAGATATGGTCATGTGACAAGGTTCTGGCCAATGAGATGTGAGTGGGGCTGTTAGGGACAGCTACCGGAAGTCCTCCTGCAGAGACGGCTAGATTTCTAATAACCTTGTATCCCTTCGTAATTCCGAATTACATTTTGCGGTGGGAACGTGGATGTGATGGCCAAAGCACAGCTTGGAGTGTGAGGATGAGGGACATGTCCGGGGGACGGCAGAGCAAGGAGCTGGAAGGAAGCTGGCTTCTGAGGAGTTCAGGGAGCGGACCCAGCACCCGGTCCTGCAGACTTTCATGTGAGAGAAATCAACTTCTCTTGAGTCTGATACTCTGTTAATTGTAACCAGTCTTCATTTGAATCAGTAAAAAGAGCTGACTTTTTAAATGAGCGTACCAAAACTTACAAATCCAAATGAATGCTGACTTTCACAATAATCATCCTCTATCATAGAGGCATATAAATTTTCCTAAAATACGTATCTTGATTAAACATTTATAAACATTTACCAAAGATTCATAAATATTTATAAATTATTCTTTTGGAATTATCATACACACACACACACACGTTTTGCTACTTTGTAAAATCATATTTTATTTTCAACACCCAGGCAGTACCAATCAGCTCAATCATCCCTTCCATTCACCTGATTGGTTTATGAGTGATTCTTAACTATTTCCCCAAAGCAAATCCACCCTCGAAAGAAATACATAGTTTATCATTGTAGATGTCGCACAGAATATGCTGTCACTACCAAAATCAGTTCCAAAAGAAGAGCCCCAAGCAGTTTTTGAGCAGTAATGGAATCATTCACATGTAGCACTTCTAGGTGGGGCTACCTCCATGGGAAATTCGTTCGGAGGTAAACAGTCTCATATCTTGTTTAAAAAAAAAAAATCACTTTCACTGCTTATGTCCTATCCATAGGGCTGACCGTTGGCTGAAGAGTTACAAGTCTCGGTTAAAGTTGTAACATAAAATCGATTGCTCTGATGTGAGAAAAGAGTTACATGTAGGTCTTTTGCTCGGTCTTTTCACTGAGTTCTCTACCCTGTGTTCAGAAGAGATTGGGTTAGTGGCATGTTTCTGTTCTTCCTCTCCCAGCTGTGGGAGCAGCAGATGAACAGACCACCTTATTATTGAAGCTGCCAGAGCCGGCACATCAGTGGAAGTCGATATAGGCTGTGACAGATTTTTCCTAAGCCATAATTAAAGGAAGAAGACATATTGACCCGAGAAGTAAATAATAGCGCATGAAAGCCAGGCATTACCCACAGGAAATCAATCTATCTTGC